AAAAAAAAAAAAAAATTAAAACAAGCAAATGCAAAAAAAAAAAAAGAATAAAGATTAAAATGGCAAGTGCCTGTAATCCTAGTTACTCAGGAGGCCGAGATGGGAGGATTAAGGTTCGATACCAGCCTGGGCAGAAGTCGGGTAGATTCTTATCTTCGCTTAAACAACAAAAAGCTGGAAGAGGAGCTGTGGCTCAAGTGGTAGAGGGTGAACCTTGAGCAAAAAGCTCAGGGAAAGTGCCCAGGCCCTGAGTGCAAGCCCAAGCACTGGACACACACACACACACACACACACACACACATTTTAAAAGTATACACCCATCATTTGGATTAAGAACATGACTCACCAACAGTGCAAAAAATTAAAATAAAGCAGAACATGACCCGTGTGCTGAAGTCTCTGTGTCTTTTCCCACAACCCTTCCCCTTCCTCATGTTTCCTCCCCCAGCCAAGTCACCATTCTCAATAGTGTACATCTTGTTGCATGTAATTCCCTAAACAAACATGAGGTTCATTAAACTAGTTTTCTGAAAGTCAGTTAAGAACCACACCATTTATCTGTTATGGTCTGCTTTGGGATCCATTACTATTTTAGAAAGTTGGCCATGTGACTGTATGAGCCTGTTCATTGCTGTTCTCTGCTCTACAGTATTCCAAAACTAGTAGTAGTCTATGACCTTTTACCACCCTAGTGCTGTTCAGCACATAGGCTGCTCTAGTTCACCTTCACACAAACAATGAACTGCAATACCCTCCGGGGCCCCTAGCAGTGTGGTGAAGGTGATAAACTCATTCTCAGAATTCCATAAAACATGAAGATTTCCTATGAAGCCAATTAAATGAAGGTATGAAACTCGCTTATAGTGAAATAAAAAATGAGGGGCTGGGAAGGTGGCTCTGTGGTAGAGTGCTTGCCTTGCATGCATGAGGCCCTGGGTTCAATTCCTCAGCACCACATACACAGAAAAAGCCAGAAGTGGCGCTGTGGTTCAGGTGGTAGAGTGCTAGCCTTGAGCTGAAGAGCTGAGGAACAGCACCCAGGCCCAGAATTCAGGCCCCATGACTGACCAAAAAAAAAAAGACACAGGAGTTTCTCTCTCCACTTAAGGGTATGGCCTCTGGTCTAAGGACTTGTGGTTTAAAACACCCACTTTAAAGCTAGGCTCAGAGACACAATGGGTGCAGTTTTCTCTCCTATGTAGAAGGTAGATCTAAAGTATAAACATATATGAAAAATAGAGGGTCATATATATGTTAACTAAATATGATATATACAGGGGAGGATTCCCTCCTTTGAACAACCAGTGTAACAAAATGCCAGGAAGCTAGAACTTGTTTTGTTGGGAAGGGAGGGCAAACAAATAGAGGAAGGGTGGGGAGTCCAGCTGCAATACTCAATGTATGGATGTGAAAACAGAACCAGGGAACTTGAGGGGATCGGTGGCAGTTGGACAGATGGAGAATGATGGAAGGGGTGACCCTGATCGAGATGCATGGTACTTACAAACTGACAAGTTGAATTGAAACCCGCCATACAACTTAAAGATAACAGAACAAGGGGGGGAGGGGGGAGGCTGGGAAGGGATGGGAAGGGTAAACAAAGGAGGAGGCTGCAATGCTTGGTAAGAAATGTACGCATTATCCTGCCCATGCAATTGTAACCCCTCTGTACAGTATGTTCACAAATAAAATAAAATTAAATTAAAAAAAAAAAGATAACAGAACAAAAGATGCGTAGTAATTATAAACTGATTTGTTATATTGAAAACCCTTTGTGCAACTACTTAAAGAAATTTTTTTAAAAATTAAATATGAAGAGCCCATTTCAGGCTCTGTCTCCCTCTAAAGCGTAGGATCTGGTTGATGATGAGTCATGTCCCAGCTGAAACAGGTCCTGGGGATGCCCAGCGCAGGCTAGGCAGAGCAGACTACAGCATCAGAGCTGTCCTCTCCTCCAGGCTGACTGACCTGCTGCTACGGAAAGCTGCCCTGCTCCTAAACCTGATCTGAACCAGGCCTGTGGGTTTTGGGTTTTATTACCTGCCAGGCATCCTTAAAAATACAAACAAAACCCCAAACTCTGCCTCCACCTTCCCCCCAGCTCCACAGCTGGAGCTGATGAGAGGCACTCTCCCTCTCCAGCACACCCTTCCAGCCTGCTCTGCACACAACCTACCTTGATGAGGGTGATGCCCAGGGCCTTCTTGGGAACCCTACCCGTGATCTCATCGCAGATCCTGTGGATGAACTGGTGAGGGATGACGAACACCAGCAGATCCGCATCCTGCACAGCCTCGCTGAGGTTTGGGATAGCAACCTGCAGCATCAGGAGAAACAGACAGCAGTCAGACAACATCCATCCATCTGGAATTGTTTCTGCCCATTAACCCTTTAGTGAGTAAGAACTGCTGCAGTCCCTAATCTCCATGAAGAATCCTGACATACCCTTTTTCTTTTTTTTTTTTTGAGGCAGGTCTCCCTCCTTATGTAGCCTGGCTAGTCTCCAACTCAAGATCTGCTTTAGCCTCCTAAGTGCTGAGATTGCAGAGATGCACCACCACACCCAGCTCCCACGGTTCTTTTAAAGCTACAGTTTGCAGGTAACTTATGTGATTTGGGTGCAAGTAGTCTTTCTCTTAAGGCAGGGATGGTCCTTAATTTATTCAACTGGCATATTAAACACTCAAAGTCAAGCAGAAGCGGGAAGGTGTGAGTAAGGGTTTGTAGGAAACGAATGCTTCCTTACTCTTCAGTAGTGGCTACAGGTCTTTTCTTGAACAGTATGGGATGGTGGCATGAAGCCTGGAGCTACTGCAGCCATTTTAGATATGTGTGGGGAGGCTTCCATGTGGATGAAGCCAAGTATAGAAAGCAGAAGAAAAAAAAAGAAAGTTTCATGAGCATAATTTCAGCCAATGCACCTGAAGCCAGCCTCACATGGACTTCTTTCCTTGACAGCACTAGGGTTTGAACTCAGGGCCATATATACTTGCTAGGCAGGCTCAATATTGCTAAGCCACACCCAGTCTGGTTTTCACTGGCTATTTTTACAGTAAAGTCTCACTTCCTGTCCCGGTGTACTGTGCGCCACAATCCAACCACAGACTTCCCATCATCACGGGGAACACAGGTGTGCACCACCATATCCAGCTTCCCTTCCAAGGAGCCAGTCTCCTGGATTTTTTTTTCCTTGGTTGACCTAGAACCATGAATCTCCCAGTCCCAGACTCCCATGTTGTTTGGGATGACACTGGTCCACTGCACCCAGTGATATATGAGTTGAGAAGGGGTTGTTATAAATATGCTCCTCAAGAACCACCGGGAGGGGCTGGGAATGTGACTTAGTAGTGGAGTACTTGCCTAGCATGCATGAAGCCCTGTGTTCAATTCTTTAGCACCATATATACAGAAAAGGCTGCAGTGCTGTGGTTCAAGTGATAGAGTGCTAGTCTTGAGCAAAAGAAGCTCAGGGACAGTGCCCAGGTCCTGAGTTCAAGCCCCAGGATTGGCAAACAAAAACTACCAGAGTCACAACTGAAGAAATAAAAACAAAGAATTCTCAAAGCAAGGCAAAATTTACTTCTGCAAAAAGATGTGCCATTAGCCAGATTTTGGTCAAAGCAAGCAAGCGGCAGGCTCCCTTTTTATCCCTAATGCAGCTGGTCCCACCTCTCTGCTCTGGTTAGCCAATCAGAATAAAGAAGAGGATAGGATGTATTTATATAAGGTGACCATTAAAAGACTTTAAGATTAACAGTATACAAGCAATCTCAAAACATATTCCCACCTTCTGCTATTTTATTGTCCAAGCTGAGGTGTGTCTTAATTTCTCTTCCATTTTGGAATAACCAGCTAAGACAAAAAACCTTACATTTCAAAAAAAAAATCCTTCCTTATGCCAAAGCATTTATTCAATAAGAACAAAGCCACCAGTCCAAAACACAAACTTTTTTTTTTTTTGGTCCAGTCATGGGGCCTGAACTCTGGGCCTGGGCACTGTCCCTCAGCTGTTCAGCTCAAGGCTAGCGCTCTACCACTTGAGCCACAGCGCCACTTCCGGCTTTTTTCTTTTTGCTTATGTGGTGCTGAGGAATCGAACCCAGGGCCTCAGGCATGCAAGGCAAGAGCTCTACCACTGAGCCACCTTCCCAGCCCAAAGACTTGCTGCTTCTTTCTTTTTGCTTATGTGGTGCTGAGGAATCGAACCCAGGGCCTCAGGCATGCAAGGCAAGAGCTCTACCACTGAGCCACCTTCCCAGCCCTAAAACACAAACTTTTAAGAGAAATTATTCTGATATGGTCGACAGGAAGCAACCCACTTCCACAGAAAAGATGGCTTTTCTCACAGGGTCTCACAAATAGTTCTTCCCAGGTAGGCCTTGAACCATGATCCTTCTACTCTCAAGTCTCCCAAGTAGATAGAAGCATGAGCTACCACCGGTGCCCAGCCCCTATGTGTATTTTTTTAGTCAAATAAAGCAAACCATTCTTTTAGCTTAAGCTGGTGTAGATGACTCAGTCATTCCCACACCTGAACCACAGCCAAAAGCTTAGGGCATCTCCTTCCTTCCTCATGAAGGCAGGGAAAGTCCGTATTTCCCTTCTGAAGACCTCCAGACCACAGTCTAGGGTTGGGGTCATAGGTACCAGGGACTTATTACCCCACAGTGAAAGCCTCAGACGCAGTATCTCCCTGACATCCTCTAACCCCCCACTCCCCTCCCCGCTGCAAGGCAAGCACAGAAACCAGAGCCTTTGTCCTTATGCCAGAGCCATAAAACTGAAGAACAGCCAGCACTGCATGCCTGTCATCTGAGCTACTTAGGAGGCTGATATCGGAGAACTGTGGGTCAGAGCCTGTGGAGCAGAAAATTCTGTGGGATTATTATATTCAATTAACCACCAAAAAGCTGGAAGTGGAGGTATGGCTCAAGTGGTAGAGCACCAGTTTTAAATGAAAAAAAAAAAAAAAAAACCAGTGATAGCACCTAGGACCTGAGTATAAACCCTAGCACTGGCCTAAAATAACAACCCTAAAAATACTGCTCTTGGGGAAAATAAGAGAGAGGGACAAAGGGTGAACAGAGCAGCGAAACTCAATAGACAATGTTGAAAATGAACTATACAACTTGTAGAGGAGGAGGGTCAGGAGGGAAAAATGGGGAGAAAATGAGGAAAGAGGTGACACTGCTCAAAAGAAATGTACTCATTACCTGACTTATGTAATACCCCTCTGTACATCACCTTTACGATAACAATAAAATTTAAAACAAACAAAAAAAGCCAGTGCTCTTTGTCCCACCTTACTATGTAGGAAATTCTCTCACCTACCTTGTCTGACAGTAAAGCGTAAGACCCCTGTTCTGCAAGAACATTTGCTATTTTTTTTTTCTTTCTTGGTCAGCCATAGGGCTTGAACTCTGGGCCTGGGCACTGTCCCTCAGCTCTTCAGCTCAAGGCTAGTGCTCTACCACTTGAACCACGGGGCCACTTCCCTATTTTTCTGTTTATGTGGTGCTGAGGAATTGAACCAGGGCCTCATGCATGTGAGGCAAGCACTCTACCACTGAGCCCCCTTCCCAGCCTCGCTCTTAAGACAAAAAGGAGCAGAGGAAACCAAAGAGGTCTTGCTACTCACCCCCTACACTTTATTCTTATAGGTCACACTCTGTACAATCTCTCTGGAGACTCTTTCTTTTTCCTTCCTTCCTTCCAATTTTTTTTCTTCAGCTCTTGCTTGGCTTTTTTGCTAAAGGCTGGCACTATACCACTTGCGCCACAGCTCCACTTCTAGCTTTTTGGTGGTTATGTGTATGGCACACATACATAATGCGTTTTATACTCTATCAAAACCAGGTCTTAACAGCTAACAAGTCATTTGAATCTCATCTCTCAGAACAAGAGGCTGAAGCTTGGCACACCAGTGGCTAAATCCTAGCTTAAGCTAAATGACACATCCTAACTCATCAGGAGGCTGAGATCTGAGGATTTTGTAAGCCTCCTGGTTTAAAATGTTTCTGAGGGGCTAGGAATGTGGCTTAGTGGTACTGTGCCTACCTAGCATGCATGAAGCCCTGGGTTGATTCCTCAGAACCACAAACACAGAAAAAGCCAGGAGTGACACTGTGACTCATATGGCAGAGTGCTAGCAAAAGAAGCTTAAGGACAATGCCCAGGTCCTGAGTTCAAGCACCAGAACTGGCAAAATATAAATAAATAAGTAATAGTTTCTGAGGCTGTCCACTGTTAAAGATCCTAAAATGGGATAGGAAAGACAACCCCAAACAGTTTGTCTTTCAGCATAAGCAGGACTGAGGAAGAACCAGAACAAAAGAACCAGGGCTAGCTGTTTAAAGCCCAGGAGTCCAGTGCTGTGATCCAAATGAATAAAAATGTAACCCCCAACAACAACAAAAATCACTGAAAACCAATGAGAACAGCCATATGGACAAACCTGAATCTTTTGTATCCTCTGATTCATGGTATACTGTATAGTGCTGATGAGCTACTATCCACTACATGTTGTCTACTCTGCAGGAGAGACCCAATCCCCACCAAGCACAAGTGCCTACTGATCTTCCCAAGTGCAATAGCATGGCTTTTTTTTTTTTTTGGTCAGTCGTGGGGCTTGAACTCTGGGCCTGGGCACTGTCCCTCAGCTCTTCAGCTCAAGGCCACTTGAGCCACAGTGCCACTTCCGGTTGTCTGGTGGTTTTTTGGAGATAAGAGTCTCACGGACTTTTCCTGCATGGGCTGGCTTTGAACCATGATCCTCAGATCTCAGCCTCATGAATAGCTAGGCTTACAGGCATAAGCTACTGGGCTTGGCTATCATGACCTTTAAATCTAACTGTAGCTAAAAAACTTCTACACTCATTCATAACTCCAAATAAATGTACTGAATCAAATGTGAAAAAAATACACAGAAAGTGTGGGTGGGAAAGCTGGGTGCTGGTGGTTCACGCCTGAAATCCTAGCTACTGAGGAGGCTGAGATCTGAGGATTGCAGTTTGAAGCCAGTCCGGGCAGGAAAGTTGGTGAGACTCTTACCTACCAATAAACTTACAAAAAAGTAAGCCAAAAAGTAGAGTTGTAGCTCAAGTGGTAGTGTGCAAGCCTTAAACAAAAGAAGTTCAGAAACAGTGCTGATGCCCTGAATTCAAGCCCCAGGCCTGGCACGCGCGCGCACACACACACACATACACACACACACATACACACACACACATACACACACACACACACACACACACACACACAAAACCATTTTAATAAGGTAGGCCTTGGCATCTGCAAACTTCCCCACATTTAATTCTTTTCATACAGTCCTCCCAGAAGGCAGCCCTCATTTTATTCCTCTTTCTGTCTACAGCCACAGCACCATACTCTACCCTCAGAGGCAATGCTCATGGAGGCAGTGGTATGAACACACAAGGTAAACCAGAGGAAGCAGGAAGCCACAGGGAGCTGGCTTCCAAAAAGACTATTACAGAAACCTACAGGGGGGTGAATCTGGCAGCCCACGGGAGTTCATAGACTCCACCCACACCAGCAGCAGGGTGATGTTCTTTTCTTTTTCCACACCCACTTCCTTCTTCCCCTTCAAATCCACAGAACCAGGCCAGGCAACAACCTAGTATTTTTCTCTCCCAGACTTAGTAAGCTTGCATTTTCAAATGTCACTCCTACAGTTCTGCTATTTTCTTCTATTTCCCTGTGTGATGTAGGCCTTGACCTTGACTTTAATTATAGAATAGGACATTAGTTGGCCTGAACAGCTGACCAAATACAGGCACTGAGAGAGTGACATCAGGGAACACAAGCAAGGAGGGTATCACTAGTTCCAGCTCCAATGCACTCTAAATGCCAAAGAAGAATCTTCTTCCTGGGTGCTAGTGGCTCACAGCTGTAATCCTAACTACTCGAGGTTTGGAGCTAAAGATTGAAGTTTGAAGCCAGCCTGGGAAGACAAGTTTGAGAGACTCATCTCCAGTTAGTTAGTGAAAAATCTGAAACTGGGGTATGGCTCCAGTGGTAGAGCATGAGCCCTGAGCAAAAAAGCTAAGGGAGGGCATGAGGAGCTGAGTTTTAGTCCTAGTACTGGTACAAAACCACCACCAACAACAAAGGAGTCCTGCCATGATATGTTGGATATGTCTTGGGATACTGAAGTATCACACAGAAATAGGACACCAACTCAAAAGGAACTTAGCAAAAATCAACAACAACAACAACAACAAAACCTACAAAAGCAAAAGGACATGACAATAAGCCAAGTACACAAGAACTGGCCTGGGAGTTGCCCAGCTTTTATTCCTAATATGTCACTGAGCTTTTGTTCTGATTTTGATTGGTTAGAATTCAGGTCCACAATCTTGTGTGACTGGTTAGTTTTCAAGGGGTTTTAAGTTTATCCAAGCAATCAACCCAAACCATGGCCTCCTGGCTCTTACAATTCTTTATATAGTTGTTTTTTTTTTTTTGTCAGTCGTGGGGCTTGAACTCTGGGCCTGGGCGTTGTCCCTCAGCTCTTCAACTCAAGGCGAGCGCTCTACCACTTGAGCTACAGCGCCACGGCTCTTACAATTCTTACTCCGCTGGAGCTGGATCACTCTACCACTTGAGCCACACCTTCAGCTTCTAGAGATATTGTGTGTATATGTGTATGTGTATCCCAGTTGAGCCACACCTTCAGCCTCTAGAGATATTGTGTGTGTGTGTATTTGTTTGTGTGAACTCTACTACTCGAGCCATACCTCCAGCCTCCAGATATCTAGTATGTGTCTGTCCTGAGACTTGAACTGAGAGCCTGGAGATATAAGTCTGATAGATAGACTTTCCTGCTCCCGCTGGCTTTGAACCATAATCCTGAGATCTCAGCCTCATGAGTAGCTAGGATTACAGATGTGAATCATGGGTGCCATCCTAGAAAGTAATTTTTTTTTCTTTAATTCAGATTTTCTTTTTTTTTTAATTTTACTTTATTTGTGAACATACTGTACGGAAGGGTTACAATTACATGGGCAGGATAATGCATACATTTCTCACCAAGCATTGCAGCCTCCTCCTTTGTTTACCCTTCAGATCCCTTCCCAGCCTCCCCCTAGAAAGTAATTCTTAAAACAGGATGTGGCTCACCTAAAATACCTCTTGAAGGATGGAGGCTACCGTTTAAATGGTGGTGATTATGTCACTTGGATAGAAAAGATTCTCACTCCTACAGAGTACATGGTATGTCCCCCAAAGCTCATTCGCTGACATTCTGCCTCAGCACCTGAGACAGTGACTACATTTGGTGACAGCACCCTCAGAGAGGTAGTGAACTGAAAATGATAAGAGTGGGGAAATATGACTGCTGTATGATACATGGGCTCCAACAGGACTCTGTCCCCACAGCAAGGGTTATGACACAGCCACCAGGAAGCTCCACAAGAAAACAACCATGACATCTGTTCAGAACTGTCACAAAAAGAAACAAATTCTGTTGTTTAACTCACCCCACCTAGGGCACTCTGTTTACAACAGCCCCAAGAGTAACACAAAGCCCATTTTCAATCAGGAAAAACCAGAGCCAATGGGGAATAACAGGGAAGTCACTTGGCCAGCTCCAGATCCCCAGCTCCACCAGCTAAGCAAGATCAAGCAAGAATGAACCAGAGTCTCACCACATTTTCTGGTAGCTTGTGTCCGGGGAGATATTTTACATTTTCATGGTCATTATTTATGATGTCAGTCAGTTTTCTGCCATTGACTGTTTCTTCAAAGACCCACATCTTCACTGTGGAGGCAAACTTCTGCAGCTTCTGAACATTATTGCCAATTATCTTCGCAACAGCTGAACCCCTGCAAAAAAGAAATCAGAAAAAAAAATTCACTTGAGCAGAAGAATTTGATTTCAATTAAGTTAAATGCACTCAATTTAAATTCACAAGGCCTGTGCTTTCATTCTGATCAAAGACTGAGCTTGCTCAAAATGAGACGTGTATTCATCTTAAGCCACATGAAATGTGCTTGTTCACACTGGTAAGCCCAGGAACTTTGCACGAAGGTGAAAACCTATCCTTCTTGAAACCAATAAAAGCCAAAGTTAACTTGGGGCAGTGTGACATAAAGAAAAGAAATCCATCTACCTCATGATGATGACACTATAGGGTTTTATTTATTTATTTTTGTTCAGTCCTAAGGCTTGAACTCTGGGCCTGGGTGCTGTCCCTCAGCTCTTCAGCTCAAGGCCAGTGCTCTACCACTTGAACCACAGCACCACTTCTGGTTTTCTGAGTGGTTTATTGGAGATAAGAGTCTCACAGCTTGTCCTGCTCGGGCTGGCTTTGAACAGTGATCCTCATATCTCAGCCTTTGAGTAGTTTGGATTATAGGCATGAGCCACCACGCCCAGCTACTAGAGGGTTTTTGAAGTCTCCAAGGACACCAAATTGTAGTTCAAATCTACTAAGATAAAAATGTACCCACTGGAAAATAAACTGTTCAGATAAACTGGCCTAAAGTGGAATTCTAACTGGAAAGACAAGAATTACATGGATGTTGGGCATTTATCCAAAAGAGTTTACAAGTCAGCATACAATAAAGACACTTGAATATTGGGGCTGGGAAGGTGGCTCAGTAGTAGAGCGCTTGCCTTGCATGCTCAAGGCCCTGGGTTTGATTCCTTAGCACCACATAAGCAAAAAGAAAAAAGCCAGAAGTGGTGCTGTGGCTCAAGTGGTAGAGCGCTAGCCTTGAGCTGAAGAGCTGAGGGACAGTGCCCAGGTCCAAAGTTCAGGCCCCATGACCGGACCCAAAAAAAAAAAAAAAAAGACACTTGAATATCCATGTTCATTGTTCATTATTCACCATAGCCAAGGTTTGGGAACAGCTCATCCCCTATAATGGATGAATGAATCAAGAAACACACACACACACATATACAGTAATTGTACTCATGTATCAAAAAAGTACATTATGGCCAGGTGCTAGTGGCTCATGCTTGTATCCTAGCTACTCAGGAGGCTAAGATCTGAGGATCATGGTTCAAAACCAGCCTGGGCAGGAAAGTCCATGAGACTCTTATCTCCAATTAACCAACAGAAAACCAGAAGTGGCACTGTGGCTCAAGTGGTAGAGCACTAGCCTTAAGCTAAAGAGCTCAGGGACAGCACCCAGGCCAAGAGTTCAAGACTCATGACTGAACAACAACAACAACAAAAGTACATTATGTCATTTGCAGGAAAAAATGTTAGGTGAAATAAATTGGGCTCAGAGAAACATACCATGCATATTTTCTCTCTTATGTGGAGTTAGGTCTAAATTGTAAACATAGGAAAACATACACAGGGAAAAATGCAGATATTCATGGACAAATTGAAGTATGAGATACTCAGAGAAGACTCCAACGGTGTAATTGTTTTGAACAACTAACTTATAGGTCAACAAAATAAATATCATGGGGCTCAGAAGGTGGCTCAGTGCTTGCCTTGGATGCATGAGGCCCTGGGTTCAATTCCTCAGCACCACATAAGCAGAAAAAGCCAGAAGTGGCACTGTGGCCCAAGTGGTAAAGCGATAGCCTTGAGCTGAAGAGCTGAGGAACAGTGCCCAGGCCCAGAGTTCAGGTCCCATGACCAACTAACTAAATAAATAAATACATACATACATACATACTATATAGCTGAAAAAAATATTTTTGTCCTGGATAGGGAAACGAGGAGAAGGGATAGAGTTCAAGAAAGGAGGAAGAGACAAATGCAGAGTGGAAGAATGGGCAAATACCATCATTATTTCAATGTATACATTCAATGGAATCAGGTAATCTGGGGGGTGGTGTTAGGAGACAGAATGATATTGATGAAGATACACTGTACTTATAAATTAATACACTGAAATGAAACTCCCTTATACAGCTACTTAAAGATAATAATAACAAAAAAAATAACAAGAAGAACCCCAACCTCTAAGAAGCTATTTTAGCTAAGCCATATTCTGTTATTAGAATTTTTTTTCTTGAGGTTAGAGGCATGGCTTAAGTGGTAAAATGCTAGCTAAGAAGAACTGTTTTTCTGACCAGTTCCTGCTTTGGCCAGGGCTTGGTCTTAGTTGACTGTACTTTAATTAAGATATCCTAGGGGCTGGGAAGGTGGCTCAGGGGTAGATTGCTTGCCTTGCATGCATGAGGCCCTGGGTTCGATTCCTTAGCACCACATAAGCAAAAAGAAAAAAGCCGGAAGTGGCGTTGTGGCTCAAGTGGTAGAGCGCTAGCCTTGAGCTGAAGAGCTGAGGGACAGCGCCCAGGCCCAGAGTTCAGGCCCCACGACCGGACCCAAAATAAATAAATAAATAAAGATATCCTGTTACCAGTTATGCCCTGTTCCTGTTAAATTGTATTAAGCAATATCATCTCAAACTAGCCAATCACACAGCTTGTAAACCTAATTTCTGACCAATCAAAACATGAGGTAGTATTATGCTAGGGATACAACCCTGCAGATTGCCAGCCCACCGCACTTGCTGACTCGGCTTCTTCCCACTAGCAGATCTTTCTGCCACAGCAAACTTTTCCTTGACAAGTTCCTTTCAAGTTGGTGTCCTTATTCCTACATGAGACCCCAATGTCCCAAGATGTTCCCAACAATTTCAAAGGGAACAAAGAACAGGACCTAGATTCTGAGCAACAAATCCAGTAGGCCTAGAGCCATGAAGTCCTCATCTCTCTGTATCTTTATTCCACTAACAAATTCTGGTCCTCATCTCTCTAGTTCTACTCAACTAACAAATTCAGTCTCTAAGGCCTTATGGAAATCACTGAACCCTAACTTCTCAATATCGGTCCCAACAGCTCCTTCCTGCAGTACATGGGACACCCTGGCATGGGTTACCTTTGCCATTTCCTAGAATCTCTGCTGACCAGAAGTGGGACCCTAATCCCAGATGAGCCAATCAGCCCCCCAACGGCTCTAAAGAACCTTCCTTCCTTCTTTTCTTCCTTCCTCTTTCTTTCTGCCTCTTTTTTTTTTAATTTTTATTTAGTTTTTTTATTGTGAAAGTACTGTACAGAGGGGTTACAATTACATGGGCAAGATAATGAGTACATTTCTTGTCAAGCATTGTAGCCTCCTCCTTTGTTTCTCCTTCCCATCCCTTCCCATCCTCCCCCTGCCCCCCCACCCAATCCTCCCCACTCCCCTCCCCCCACACACCAAAGTTGTAAAGTTCATTTTTGACATAACGACTTGTACTTCTCATTGTTGCAATGGGTCCACCTGTATCCCTATTTAAACAACTTGTTTTTCCCCTTCCCCTCCACAAATTATACCGACATCAAATACAGTGAAAAGCAGGAGTTATACCATGGGGGAGGGTTTCTGCCTCTCTTTCTGCCTTTCCTTCTTTCTTTCTCTTTCTCTCTTTCTTTCTCTCTTTGTCTTTCTTTCTTTCTCTTTCTCTCTTTCTATCTCTTTCTTTCTGCCAGTCCTGGGGCTTGCACTTGGCCTGGGCACTGTCCCTGAACTTCTTTTGTTCAAGACTAGCACTCTACCACTTGAGCCACAACATCACTTTCAGCTTTTTATGTTTATGTGGTACTGAGGAATTGAACCCAAGGCTTCACGAATGCTAGAGAAGCACCCTACCACTAAGCCATATTCCCTACCCCAAGAAGTTTTTTCTTTGATAACTCTAATGAAAGAATATGGTAAAAATGCATCTTGCAAATTCAAATTTTAGGACATCTGTAGTTTTCTAACTATTCTGAACAGAGTAGATGGTAAGAAAGGGAGGAGGTATCCCAGCTGATGCTGAAGAACATAGAAGAATTGTCATCCTTCCTCTCTCTTCCCTCAGAGATGGGGGGGGGAGGTGTACGTTGGCATAGGGCTTGAACTTAAGGCCTGTCCCTCACCTTCTTCACTCAAGACTGATGCTCTGCCACTTGAAACACAGCTCTACTTTGGGCCGTGTGTGTGTGTGTGTGTGTGTCTGTGTGTGTGTGTCTGTGTCTGTGTGTGTGTGTGTCTGTGTCTGTGTCTGTGTGATTAATTGGAAATGAGTCTCTCAGACTTTCCTGCCTAGGCTGATTTCACAATCTTAAGATTTTAAGAAAGAGCCACCAGCACCTGGTTCCCTGTCTCTCATTTTAGCCAGCTCTAATTATTTCTCAGCATTTATTACAATCTATATGCTTTGACAACTACAAAAGCCTGAATAAATCTACCATAGATGATTCTATGTCAGGAAAGAGAAAAAAATGATAATTTACACCATCAAGTCTCAACTTTGACTACACACTAGAATTACTTGTGAGGGTCAAGATCCTGAGTTCCAAGCCATACCCAAACCACAAAACAATAAAACTGGCTCCTCCGGGGTGCCATTTTTCAAGTTCACAGTGACTCATTAGGGAGCTTGGGCGGAGAACTGATGCTCAACATGATCTAGAACTCTCATGCCCTCCTCCTACCAAGAAATGTTATGGCTAGGCAGCTGTGCCCACCGATGTCAGCGAAACAGCTCATTATCCATTTCTGCTGATACTTGTAAATGGGAGGCTGAGTTGCCCCATCACTACACCTTTCTTCTCAGCTGAGTATGGCTGCTCATCCAGTGCTCCCCTGGCATCCAGTTAAACTGGAAGATGACTGGAAACATAGCTCAGTGGTAGAGTGTTTGCCTAGCAATATGAGGCCTTGAGTTCAACCTCTAGTAGATGGGAAGAAGCCTAATTCAAACACAAATCAGGTAGAGTGACAATGTTTCATGCCTGTAATCCTAGTTACTCAGGAGGCTGAGATCTGAGGATTGAGGTTCAAAGCCAGCCTGGGAAGAAAAGCCTCCATGAAAATCTTATCTCCAAT